GATCCTGGAATGGGGTGTTGATGAATTGGTGCCTGAGGAGGAAGAGGTGATGCCTGGCGATCTTGACCTCGGTTGCCATGGTGTTGAGGCATTTGACAACAAAGCCTGGAAGAACAAAAGGCTGGAGTGGGCACATACGATGTGGGATAACAGTGGTCGGACAAGGATCTGAAGAAGAAGAAGAAGAAGAAGAAGAAGAAGAAGAAGAAGAAGAAGAAGAGCGAGAGCAGCAGCAGAGGAGAAAGCAACAACAGCAGAGGAGGATGAAGCAACAATAGTAGATGAAGAAGAGTAAGAGGAGGGATGATGAACTTTCCCCATTCAGCCATTTGGCTCTGAATAATATGTATTGCCATTTGATAGTAGTTAGGATGAACTGTAATTTGTTTCGTAGCTAGGAGTGAGATTGTTAATCGTGTTTGGTAAGGTCGCCACCAGTGAGAAGTGGGGACAGCACCTAATGCAGGTTGCAACCAAACAGCTAGTCATGTGTGTGCGCCTCATGTGATGCAGCCAATCAAATGGGGGATCAAAATTAGTCCCCCCATGTAGCTAACCTATATGCAGACAACCAAACTATGTGCAGATAATAGTTTATAGGCTATTTTTGCTCAGCCATGCACATCTGAGAAGTATATGCAAACACGTCAAAAATCGATGCAGGCAACCAAATCTATACTGATAGATCACTAAACACATGGTAAAATCATTTCTGACATATGGGACCCGCTGTAAGTGGTGACGACGCCGAAATCGCGCGAGTAACAACAGCGGCCATGGCCAGCCACAAGAGCGCGAGCAGCGGCGGAGGCCACGCACGAGCACAAGCATCGACAGCACCGGCCACACACGAGGGTGCGAGCTGTCGCCGGCTCCAGAGCACGGGCGCGCCATAGCGGGGGTAGAGACGCGAGCATCAGCAGCAGCGTCCACACGGCCACCGGAGCATCCTCGATACCTCCTACCTCGCTGCCAAGATCCCATGTGGCCACCTCTTCTCACCCTCTTTCCCCCTTGCCCGCGACCTCCCGGGCACCATGACCGAGAGCACGGGCTCGAGCTCTACCCCATGCCCCGACTACCCCATGGGCACCTTGGTCCGGAGCTACCTCTCTACGCAACCTCCATCGCTCGGCCACGCCACCTTGCACTAGGTCGCCCACAAGGTCGCCCACAGAGCATTCCTGCACCACTGTCGGCGATGTTGTGCTCCTGCCACCTGTGAGCTGGGCGGCTGACGGGATGCCTGCTAGGTGTTTGTGGAAATTGCTCAAAGAGGCAGAGGAGGGGTTGGTCGGGTGACCTAAAGTTGTCTCCTCACTATGTTTGGCCCATGCCACATCAACCTAACAATGGGACCTACCCATCAGATTCAGCGTCAAACGGCTCTAATCGACCTATCGGCGTTTTCTAACAATTGTCAGCACAATGGTGGTGGGTTTTTTTAAAAAAAGGTGACGATTTTCGAAATTAGGGTCCTCAATTATGGTGGTATTTTGCAAGTTACTCCCAACCCACAAGTTCCCCTCCATCTACGGGAAGAAGATTCTTCCCGTAAACTTTGGCGAATAGCAACACTGAAGTTTCAGGGCGCCCGAACCTCGTCTCTAGGCCCACCTCGTCCAGCTGCACCGTGTTGCTCCTCGCCACCCCGTTGCCTCCCCACACCGCCGCGATGACCCGTTGCCGGCCGAAGGAACCGGCAACGCCATCCCACACTGCCCCATCGCTGCTCGGACAAGCTGGTTGGCCCCAACGTGCCGCCCTCCTCCAGGACGCCTCCCTGTACTTGCCCCCGCTGCTTAAAAGCGCCTCGTCTCCATTTTGCCCCAAGGTATTCGACAAATTTCTTCACCCAAGTTTTCTATATGTCCCAAGAAATTACCGTTGAGATTGTGTGTGCTCATATTGTACACCGTCACTTGCATTGCAGATCTTTATTGAGTTGTTTTTCGAGGACTCATGTCTGGACGAGGATGAAGAACTTGAAATGGTGATCGCTTTATATGCAAACACGATGGAGAAACAAGAAGCTGAAGTGGGAGGTTCGGTGTCTGGGCATTTGTACTTCACCGGAGTAAGCAAGTCGGCCATGATAAACTAATGGATGACTATTTTGGAGAGAATCCAGTGTACGGTTTTTAAAAAATTAGGTGAAGGTTTCGAGTGTCAATGGGCTTGTTCTTGTGCATTGCTCGTGTCGTGGAAGATCATTGCTCATACTTTGTGCAAAGAAGAAATGTAGTCGATCAACAAGGTCATCGTGCTTTGAATGATTTCGGCGGCGGTGAGCATGCTTGCATATCGTTGTCCTGTTGATTATATTGATGATTGGATTGGAATGGCAGATTGCACTTGCATTAACAGTTTGAAGAAATTTGTGAAGTCTACAATTGAGATATTCGGAGAAGAATATCTTCAAGCGCCATATGAAGAGGACACTGCAAGAGTTCTTTAGATGGGTGCATCAAATGGCTTTCTCTGTATGCTTGAAAGCATTGATTACATGCACTGGAAGCGGAAAAATTGTCCTACATCATTGCATGGACAATTCGAAGGGAAAGGTAAAGATGCAACCATAATTCTAGAAGTTGTGGCATCAAACCACCTTTGGAGTCATATTTTTAATAGCCAGGATCTCGGGGCGGGGCGCCCGTTCATCGTTCTGGCGGTGGTGTTGGGAACTCGGGGCGGCGGCCCCGAGGAAGGTCGCGAGTTCAACGTGGCTGTGAGGGGCGGCGATCCACTTCGGCTGCGTGGGCAGCGAGGAGGACACCGGCCGATGGGTGTCCCTGCTAGTTGTCATGGTGACTTGAGATGCGCCTTGGCGTGCTCTTTGCCTCATATGAGATCCGGCAGGGACGGTCGGATGGAGGGCTCGGCGACATCATGTTATACGTCCGCGTGGGATAGCCGGAGCGCCCTGGACTCGGCAGCCTGCTACTGGTCTAATGGTCGCATGGTGTAGCACCTTTGTCACTTGCAGGCAGCTATGCGATCCTGATCTGGCGGTGGCTGGATTCATGGGCGTGCCTCGGCGATGCTGATCTGTCTTTTGTGCTCTACCTACGACAATGTCGGCACAGAGCAGACGGGCATGAGTAGAGCTCTTTCCGGTGAGGTGGCAGTCGACAGTGTTGTGATTCGCCATCGGTGTTGGTTCGTGATGACCACTCTGGCTTGCGGCGGAGCTTGCTGTGGATTGCAGTGGCATCGAAAGGTCTTTGTGAGGGTTCTTCTCTTCGGATCTAGTGGTTGACTTCGACGCTGAGATGCAATCTATGGACAGTGGCTTGATGCAAAGGGATGGTTGTGCAGCGGCGGCGGTCACACATCGTATGTAGCTGCTGGGTTCGTAGAAAAGTGGTGGCGACAACACATTTGTGGCTTCGATGGTGCTGTTACTCGAGCACCCAGTCTCGAGCTCCGGGGTGAAAGCCTAGGTCTTGACCCAAGTTGGTTATACCTGGCAATGACGATGTTTATACGTCGTTACCTTGTTGAAGGCATTGCTCGGATATGCTCGGACATGTTCTTAAGGGTGAAAACCTAGATTTCGGCCGTGAGTGGTTGGATCCGGTAACGACGACGCTTGAGCGTCACTCACTTCCTGAAGGCGTTGCTGTCGAAGAACGTCATCGTCTATGTGATGTCATAAGATGGTTGGTGCATATATGGTCATTGTTGTAGTTTGCCGATCACGGATCAGATCGCCTTGGGTTTTCTTTTTCCTCATCTATGCATAGCTTTGGTCTTATATAACTTTGCTATTTGCCGGCTTGTTTCTCTGTGCGTGCGTAGGGGTTGGCTGTGTGCATCCTAATTATGCAGAGGCCGGGTGTGTACTCTTCGTGGTTGAATTCTCTTGATGCTTCATTTTGAGGCAATAAAATTCATCCTTTATCGGAAAAAAATCTAACTTTTGGATGATCTAGCCGAGCATTTGTGGTTGCTTCATGACCAATAAATTTCTATGTATTATGTTTTACTTCGAATGGTTTAATTTGGACCATTTGTTATGTTTGAATTTGAATCTAAATTTTGAATCAAAATTCATAATTTGGGGATTTGAAATGATTGTCAAGTATGTGTGTCTGATATTATAGACGCGGGAGTGGCGTCCTGACGCGGCGTGGCCCTCTCGCTGCTGCTCTGGACGCTGGCTGCCCACGGTCACCGGCGCATCACGGTCACCGGTCACGGGCACGGAACTTCCACTGGAGGCGGCCAGCCAGCGCCACGGAGTGGCCGCTCGTCGAGCACTTCCACTGGACGCGGAACGTCGAGGACAGGCGCCCTCGTGCGGACCCCCGATGTTCCGGCGGCGAGGACCACTACTGCCTGCGTTCCGAAGTCAATGCTGATCTTAGAGTGAGATATTTTGACAACTTAAATTGGTGAACTTCGACACTTTCGGTGACGAAGTGAGAACCCTAGCGTACCGTGGATGTAATTTACTCCATGGTTTTTGGTGGTGAATTTGCTCTGCCTCGGTAGTTCAGTCCAGCAAGATAAATTTCACTTCGGCAATACTACTGGTAGGACAGAAGGCGCAGCAAAATGGCGACTGTAACAAGGTAAAAACAGAGTAGTCCTTTTCAGCGGTAGATGCTTCAGAGATAAACTACAGGGGCAGTGATAAACTACAGGGGCAGTGCTAGTATTCAGTCATGCAGATCAATCAAGCAAAGCAGAAACTACCATCTGTTTTTTTTAATGTTCTACCATCTGTTTCTCACCAATCATCAAAGTCAGAGGCCAAGGGCTGCTACTACATGGATCCATAAGCTCCATCAACAAATTACTGTATGGAGAACGGTTACTATACAAGCAAAAATGAGCATAACTAGGCGATTTACAGGGCCAAAGCCAACAGCTTCATCATATCTGACGATGATGCTACACTAATAGTACTCGTTAAATAGAAAAGAAAGATCTAGCGAGCAGTTTCAGACGGAAAAAGAATCAGCTATCAATATGGCAAGAATGGGCCAGGGTGCTCATCTCCTAGTTCGACCTGCCAAGTTCCTTGCTACAGTGGACGTCGACGATGACGAAGATGAAAGGGTTGTCGTTCTGTTAAACTCCTCCTTGTCCTCGCTGAACGCCTTCAGAAGCGTATCTTGCAGGTCGTGAAACCTCCTCTTCCTCTCGGAGGATGCATCTCTTCCGAGGGAAGCCAGCTCAGGTTCATCGTCCATGATCTTGTCCAGCACATTTGAACAGCGTGGGAAGAAACGTTTGCCGAGTTCAACTGGTATAAACATTCAGATTGCAGTTAGTCCAGATACATAAGCTTGGTAAAATGTCATCTTATAGCTGAATGCACGCGCACACACATGCGAGAGTAATCATTAGCAATTCGACCACCAATTAACATTTCGTATGTGTACATATTTGGGTTCACTCTTCAGTTCTTAACAGGAGAGAGAATAAAATCTGGGATTTCAACCTTATCTACACCAGTAATCCTATTGATATTTTTCTTTCTTTCTTGAGCACACCCCCCAAGTCTGCGTCATTTGTACCAGAAGAAATCGCTAACATGGAACGGGTCTTACAAGCAAACTAACACAAAAAGGAAAAGGCAGGAACAAAAATCTAGAAAGCTAAAAACAGAACAACCAAAAGATAAAAACGCAAGCTGTGCCTCACCTGTTTTGGAGAGGGCTCTCATCCGAGCTAAGTGTTCCTCCTTCATTTTGAAAGAAGTATCATTCAGATCAACGGTTGTTATCTCCAGAGGTGGATTTGTACTAGAACCAAGGGTAAATTCCAAAGTACCATCCACTTGAGCAATGTCCATTGCTACTCTTGCCTCAATTGGAAACATTATCCTTGCCAAAGCAACTACAAAGCATGAAAATAATTGTGTGAAAACACAACTTCCAAGAGAATAAAAAAAAGGTTAACACATTGCTAATTGCCCGTGGAAAGCTTCACTTCACATGCAAAACACCACCAACTGTAAATCCAACCAAACAACTAATTTTGAACACTACACCATATGTAGATGAATATTACCTCGGTTTTCAAGGTACAGTAACTTTCCACGAAGACAGTCACCAGCCAATGCAAGAGAAAGTGATGCTTCTCCAAGTTGTGGATCCCTTCTTTCAGCTTGCTCCAATATCTCAATGCATAATTTATCATTGGGAGACGGCTTTCCTTCTTCAGTATTCCCAAAATAATCACCATGTTTTGTGAGTCTCTTTGAGATTTGAACTGCTTTTCTTCCATCAAATGTAAAATCTGAAGGCCGGGCACCTTTGGTTAAAAGGGAGACAACGATTTTAGGATCTCTCCGCTTAGCGGCGATGTGAAGAACAGTATAACCTCTTGGGTTTCTGAGATTAACATCCGCAAGTGCGATGTCCAGAAGTTCTGTTGTAATTTTTGAGTCACAGTGTTCTACAGCATAGTGCAATGCAAATGCATCATCAAGGTTAGTCTGCCCTTCTGTGAGCAGCATCCTGACAAGCTCCACATCATCAGAATCAAGTGCTCTGAGTATCCTTCTTACGTGTTTGTTAGGAAAGCCATTGTCTTCGGGTGAAGCTAATCCAAGAGTTATCCGTAAATCAGTAATTTGCTTGATGACATCTTGAGGCAATGCTTTCTCTAGAGTAATCATGTCAAGATTTGACCGGACTACCATCTCCATGCATCTCTCGAACAGTTTCACGCAAGATTTGTTGCATAAGTTTGCAACAGATAAGATCAACGGAAGGTTATCCACTTCAACTTTATCAAGGAAATCAAGGAGATGCCGCTGCATGGAAAAGAAGGGCATAACATGGGTTAGTACTCGCTTCTCAAAAACATGAAACAATAGAACAATAGAGAACTGTTACAAGTAGCAAGTCGACGAGAGTTAGCATCAAACGATACACGGGCAAATCATCTGCAGCGAAGTCAGAATTATTAAAACACAAATCTCAGTATGACAAAGCTAAGAAGGAAAAGCATATCATCACTAAAAAATACATAAAAATCCGAAGTCTCGACACAGCCATACGGATTGATAAGAATATAGACGCATAAACGGTCTAATCTGATAAGTAATATTTTAAGAATACAAACACATACATTGATTAACCCAATTTGATTACAGCCCTGTCAACAAGTATTTCAAAAAATAGAAAATGGAAGATTTTATTACCCCCAGCCTCTGCATCAAAGTTGCATATATTTAAGTAACCTATCAAAAGTAATTTTATGTGTTTCAAATGCTCGCAAGTACATTAGAATACAAATTGGTTATAAAATCTTTTACAGTGAACCTCCATCTAAACATTTATATCATGCACAGATCCATGGATTGATGACTGGTTACCTAAAAAGGGCGTTCACTATCAAAACACTCCTGCTCAGAATAACATTAATAGATGATCCTAATGGAAATTAAGGAGTTGTGGAGCAAATATGTTTATGAACATTAGGAATATTAGGCGCTTTACACACTGACACCCGAAACTTTATTAAGTGAGAAAACAGACGATATAATACTGTCGCAGACTCCCGGTGTTGTGAATTGTCTGGGGAAAGGTGGTGCACATGCTTTCCTATTATATCCGGGGGAAAGGTGCTGTACATGCTTTCCTTTGTATTGTATATGTACCAAACGTCTGCATTAATGCAACCTAGATTTGTACAGTTTCATAAGAACTGCATTTCATTGATGAAAAATATAAGTAGGGGCATGTACCATATTGACACCACTCATTCTTTGAGCAATGAACAATTACCATTTTTCCCCAAGAAAAAAAAACATCAGAACAAGAATCCTTGAGATAGCATCAAAATGACACGGCACCTCAAGGTCCCAACTGTACAATTTCCATTGACAACTTCACCAATTTCAAGATCACCACATGATAAGCACAAGCTCCTCATTGCTACCGACAAAACGTACTAGTACTAACCAATGTTTAACGCTATTTTTCAGAAGTACTGAAATTGATTAAATTTAGCAGAAATGGTAAGGGGATCTAAGCCCATTTTGCCGCATACAGAAAATGTCCCCGCGTGCAGAAAGAAAAGACAGCATTAAACCTTGCTGTCTGAGCACAAGAACGTGCGCGCAAATATGCATTCCCAGCAAGCACAATAAATGTCTGAAACCAAGAAAGCATCATGGAGGAGAAGGGGAGAGGGAGAGGCGGACCTGGAAGAGGTTGGCGAGCTCGCCGACCTGGAAGGTGGATGCGGCGAAGAGGACCTGCGCCATGAAGGAGACGGCGGGGTGGCAGCCGACGTGCGCGCAGCCGCCCTCGTCGACGCAGGCGCACGCCGACTTGGGGAGGTCGCGGACGCGGCCGCTGTACAGGTAGTCGAGCACCAGCTCCAGCGCCTCGTACCTGACCTCGACCTCGTCGCCGAGAAGCTCCCGGAGCTCCAGCCGGTTCCCCTCCACGCCGCCGGACGACCCGGCGGCGGCGGCGCGGCGCTTGAAGAGGGCGCGCAGGAAGGGGCTCCGCGCGGACAGCACGCAGCGGTGCACGCGCAGGTCGGGCGCGCCCGGCACGGCGACGAGCGCGTCGGCGAGGAAGGCGAAGTCGTCCGGCGAGCGGAAGGCGGCGGCGAGGTTGTCGGAGAGGCGGCGGAGCGCCTCCACGTCCGCGTCGGGCGCCGCGTCCTCCATGGAGACGCTGTCGTCGCAGTCGGAGAAGGAGGCGGTGACGTGGCTGCTCGGGGCCTCCATTGGCGCTGCTGTTGCGGCGGCCGCGTGCGACTCGGGAGTCGGGAGAGCGGCCAGTTGGTGGGAGCGAAGGCGCGAGGAAGTCGAAGTGAGCGAGACGCGCAGCTCGCCAAAGGGAGGTTTAATATCAAAGCCAAGAGCCACACCATTTTTGTAGATTTTAAACAAATAAATTAAACGAGGGTGGGATTCATGGCAATCTTGCAATTTGGCCCGACGCAAATCGATCAGGCCGTTGACCGGCGTATTTGTCGCCGTCGGGTACGGCCAGGAGCCACCGGTATTTCGCTCCGTTATTTTCTTTCACAAATTATTCTTCTCTTCTTCAAGAAGGGCGGAGGGCATACAATAAAACCAGCCCTAACCAGAACGTCCTTAAAAAAATACTCCCCCGTCCGAAACTACTTGTCGTAGAATGAATAAAAATAGATGTATTTAGAACTAAAATATTTCAATATGATCTATTTCTCCGACAAGTAATTCCGGACCGAGTGAGTAAGAAATTAAACAAAAGTCCTTGAAGAAAAAATCACCATCTTCCTTCTGCTTTATAGCAGCACTGGCGGAGCTATAATAAGGCCAAGAGGCATATGACCCACCCATCCGATGGCCTAAACATTGAAGAGTACTAGCAATGTACCCATGCGATTGCAAGGGATTCAAAGTAGAATAATACTTGTTCACAAACTTGAAAGAAGACGCTCTAAATTTAATATACATATATCACTAAATAATATATTATGTTTCGTACAAAATATATTCATCGGGCTGTTTTGATGAAGTGAGGGAGGGATGTTGTTGGTTTCAAGATACTAAGGGGTTTTCTGCAAATTGGAGCAGAAAAGTAAGCTATTATTGCAAAAGGTCACAACTTACCTCACAATCGTTAGATGCAGATCTAATGGTAAAAAATGACACATGACAGACACACAACATCATCAACTAAGTCTTTTATAGGAGTAGAGATAGATAAAACTGGGCTTTTGAGAGAGAAGGAAAAACAAGTTTCCTTCTACTTGGCCTGCTTTGGCCCACACAAGTATTTTTGTGTAGCTTCACCACTGCATTTTAGAAAAGCTTGTTGTCGCCTTCTTCTCGGCACAGTAGTTTTATTGAAACTCAGGAGCTTGAAGAAGCAGCGGCTGAAAAGCCATCGATGTAAACCAGAAGACGTCGATGGTCATAGTCAAGATAGACCGCTATCCTGAAGAACTTGACGACAAGAAGGGACAGAAGATAATCCCAATTCCCGCCAGACAGAGGAAGAGGACACAAACCTCGCAAGTTCCCTAATGAAGTCCCATCTGGTTGAGCTTCAATGGGCAAAAAAGGAATCGGAGAAAAAAAATAAACACCACGACATCATCCCCTCCGCAGGGCGTTACTGAGCACCTAGACAATAACGAGGCCTAATAATTTGTCCCTGACTGAAACTCCACATGCTCTCCGTCGATGCCAAACAACATCGCCTGAATGAGGATAGGATAGGATAGGGATAATTTATTCCTCGTCGCCGATCACAACAACATCTCACCACCACCAGCTAGACACTTGAACTTAACCCTAACTAATGTTAGGGTGACCAAACACTACATACATCACAAACTGGGATTCCCCCACCTCGGTGGTGTCGGAAGGCACCTAAAGGCGAGGGGAACCAGCGATGGCAGTTGTAACCCTGGTAGCATGTTGTATTTGCGTGAGCGCTTATTTGGTCAAAACTATATGTACTAAACTACCTGACTTATGTGGACTTCAATAAATTATGTTAAACACCTTCGAAACATGGACAAAATTTGCCAAAACAAGTACTGAACTTGATTGACATGTTTTCAGGCCCATGAGGCATCCGAGAAGTTGACTAGGATACCATTCATTGAAGGAAAACTGCCCTCGAGGCAATAATAAAGTTATTATTTTATATTTCCTTATTCACGATAAGGGTTTATTATTCATGCTAGAATTGTATTGATTGGAAACTTAAATACATGTGTGAATACATAAACAAAAACTATGTCCCTAGTAAGCCTCTACTAGACTAGCTCATTGATCAAAGATGGTTAAGGTTTCCTAACCATAGACATGTGTTGTCATTTGATAACAGGATCACATCATTAGGAGAATGATGTGATGGATAAGACTCATCTGTTAGCTTAGCATAACGATCGCTCAGTTTATTGCTATTGCTTTCTTCATGTCAAATACATATTCCTTCTACTATGAGATTATGCAACTCCTGAATACCAGAGGGATGCCTTGTGTGCTATCAAACATCACAACATAACGGGGTGATCATAAATATGCTCTACAGGTATCTCCAAAGGTGTTTGTTAAGTTGGCATAGATCAAGATTAGGATTTGTCACTTCGAGTATCGAAGAGGTATCTCTGGGCCCTCTCGGTAATACACATCATAAGAAGCCTTGCAAGCAAATGACTAATGAGTTAGTTACGAGATGATGTATTGCGGAACGAGTAAAGAGGCTTGCCGGCAATGAGATTGAACTGGGTATAGAGATACCAACGATCGAATATCGGGCAAGTAACATACCGATAGACAAAGGGAATTACGTATGTTGTCATAACAGTTCGACCGATAAAGATCTTCGTAGAATATGTAGGAACCAATATGGGCATTCAGGTTCCACTATTGGTTATTGACCAGAGAGGTGTCTCGGTCATGTCTACATAGTTCTCGAACTCGTAGGGTCCGCACGCTTAACGTTCGTTGACGATATAGTGTTATATGAGTTATATGATTTGGTGACCGAATGTTGTTCAGAGTCCCGGATGAGATCACGGACATGACGAGGAGTCTCGAAATGGTAAAGAGGTAAAGATTGATATATAAGACGATGGTATTCGGACACCGTCATAGTTTCGGAGTGCACCGGGTACTCATCTGGTCAACGGAAGGGGTTCCAGGCACCCCCGGCAAGTGTATGGGCCTTATGGGCCAAAGAGGGACAGACCAGCCCACAAGAGGGCTGGTGCGCCCATTCCCTTGGCTGGTTGGCCCTAGGGGAAGGAAAGGGGAGGGGTGGCCCCTCCTGCCTTTCCCTCCTCAGGAGAGAAAGGAAAGGGGGGGGGGGCGCCACCTCCTCCTTCCTTCGTCCCGCACTCCAAATAAGGAAGGGGCGCAAATTGGGGGAAGACCCCAAGTAGGACTTGTCCTACTTGGGGTGCCTCCTTGTTGCTCCCTCCCCCCTATATATATGTGGGTGGGGGCACCTAGAACAAGAGATAACATTGTCTTAGTGCTACTTCTTGAGCTTGCGTTGCTTTTCCCTTGAAGAGGAAAGGGTGATGCAGCAAAGTAGAGATAAGTATTTCCCTCCGTTTGAGATATTGGCATCACGTCTATGTCAACCGAAATGATTATGCATCTACTACTATTACTCCACACATCAACCGCTATCCAACATGCATCTAGAGTATTAAGTTCATAAAGAACGGAGTAACGCATTAAGTAAGATGACATGATGTAGAGGAATTAACTCAAGCAATATGATGAAAACCCCATCTTTTTATCCTCGATGGCAACAATAAAATACGTGCCTTGCTGCCCCTGCTGTCACTTGGAAAGAACACCGCAAGATTTGACCCAAAGCTAAGCACTTTTACCATTGCAAGAAAAACCAATCTAGTTGGCCAAACCAAACCGATAGTTCGAAGAGAATTACAAAGATATCAAATCATGCATATAAGAATTCTGAGAAGATTCAAATAATATCCATAGATAAACTGATCATAAATCCATAATTCATCAGATCTCGGCAAACACACTGCAAAAAAGTATTACATCGAATAGATCTCCAAGAACATCGAGGAGAACATGGTATTGAGAATCAAAGAGAGAGAAGAAGCCATCTAGCTACCAGCTATGGACCCATAGGTCTGTGGTAAACTACTCACGCTTTATCAGAAGGGCAATGGTGTTAATGTAGAAGCCCTCCATGGTCGAATCCCCCTCCGACAGGACGCCAGAAAAGACCCTTAGATGGGATCTCACGGGTATAGAAGGTTGCGGTAGCAGAAAAGTGTTTCCATGGATGCCCCTGTTGGTTTGGGGATATATGGGTATATATAGGCGAAAGAATTAGGTCAAGAGGTGCACGAGGGGCCCACAAGGGTGGGGGTGATGAAGCCATGGACCTAGGGTAGGGTCATAGGCCTGACCTAGATGCCCTACACAAGGTCACTACCCTAGAATCAAGGACATTCAAAGTGTAACAAGAGATACCGACTGAAGTAACCTTGGAGTACAATCCACTCGACCAATTACCTCACTCGGATAGCCCAATTCCATTCGACCAAGACAAAGTCACTCGACTATACAAGAAACCACTTGGAGTGCAAAAGACCTAGAGTCACTCAGGATGGCAACGGTCAGGCGTTCACTCCGTAGTCTTAAAGATCATTAATAGCTCTTTATAGCTGGCGTTACCAGTAACGCCCTATCTTAATGTACATTTAACCCTGTAACAGGGGATGGCTGGCGTCCTGACGCACTCTATATAATCCACCCCCCTCCTCTGGCACAAGGGTTCACACCCTCTGTAACACACACCCTCATATTCCAGTCGACTGCCTCAGGGCACCGAGACGTAGGGATTTTACCTCCTCCGAGAGGGGCCTGTACTCGTAAACTCGTGTGTACAACCTCGCCGTAGTTAGAGCCTTGCCTCCTCATACGTACCCCCTACTCTTACTATCAGACTTGGTACCAGGACAGTTGGCGCCCACTGTGGGGCAAAGCGTCTTGGCAACTTCCGGTGAGGTTGCAATTTTTCCGATCTTCATCAACATGGTTTCCAGCGGTGGTTTGCTTATGGGCCGCGAGTTCCGACTCGGCGTGCTCACTTTTGTCGCCGACGACTTCGCCTGGATTCAACAAGCCCCCCTCGATGTCGAGGCTCTTCCGATCCGCAGGGCATCGCACTTCCATGCGAGTGCCTGCGGTGTCCTTCTGCGGCAGCCGTCGACCCCGTATCGGTTGGCTCC